CCCCAAAACCCCAAAACCCCAAAACCCCAAAACCCCAGGCTGTGAACTCTCAGTTGATCTTGGACTTAAAAGATTAAAACATTAATACTAAAAATGGTCTAGGACAAATTTTATTTTTAAGAAGTACAGCTATGTTCGTTGGAAACAGCCTCTCCTTACTGTTGCAATCTTACGGCTTTCTTTGTTGTCTGAGAGAGCCAGGCGACTAGAGTGCCATTAAAGATTAGAGTATGTGATAAGAGAAGAGGGTGCTAATCAAAAGGAATTTTAAAAAAATTGAGAAGAACCTTGATAGAGTCAAACCGAACCCTCAAAGTTCAGATCTATCAACTTCCAGAAGTGGAGTGCAAGGGGCTAGAATTAGGACCCAGTGGAGTATAGGAAAAGAGTTAGAAGATATGAACAGTTTTATCATTTTGAGTCAAAAACTTTCGATTCCTTCTATAGCCAACTTTTATATCTAAGTAAAAGAAATTGTTCACATTGGTAGCGCTTTTAATTATCTTTAAGATCATTAGCTTATGATTAGGATTTTAGTCCTTAAGATTAAGATATTTTAGTCTTTGAGTGAAGAAAATGTGGGATTTATTCATCAATTAAATTATGCAAGATCTTTCTAATTCATTGCTGATAATTATAAGCCCTTTAAATGCAAACAAAAATCAATGTAGCACTATGAGTAAGTTATTGGCTAAAATTTATGATTATTGATGAATAAATTTAGAACAGCGTAGGCAAATCTGTCTGGTATCACTTTCTGCAATCTCAGCCTTCTGTTAAATGGATCCGTCTTGCCATCTTTTATTAATCTTTGCACCACACTTTCTTCTACAAGGTTTCCTGATGGTATGATTGTTGGCTTCTTAATCATTTCCATCGTTATTGGTCAAACAAGTAGCTTCTCAAGTGCTTCAAGAAAGTTATGGTGCTTGTGGAAGTATCTCTCAAGGAATCCTGAAAGTCAGATACAAACTTACACTTCTGTTTATATCCAAGGCAGCAGTGGCCACAATGTTTTATTTTTCTTTTGTTGATCATAGAAGGAGGGTAAGATCTAGGCTTAGCTCTTCGGGCTTCATGGTATTTAAGCCTCACTGCAAGATTAGATTTTGATCTTACCCTGTACTTCCTTAGATATTTCTTTGTTCTCCTCAGTCGGTGGAGTAATCTCATCACCATCCGATAATAAGCTGTTTCCATTTTTGATTCCACTTTTCTTGAGTTTTTTCTTTAATTCTTCCACAAGGTTGGGTCTATGAAATAAATAATTACTGGAAGACATTGAGTAATAAATTTACACTAAAAATGCAATTTTGTTATTCTTTACTATAGATTTTAGAAATTGTCAAAGTGAAATTGTTCTCTGACTTGACTCAAAGCTAACCAAATTTGCAGCCTCTATGCTATTCTCAATGTGGAAGTAATCTTAAATGCATTTCCTCTTAGAGACAAATCATGTGAAGAGTGTATGTAGTTTAGAATAAGCAATAAGCCTCAAGTAAGCATATTAGTCAAATTGAAATTCTTAAGTATTGGTAAAGCATAGACTCTTTTCCATGACTTTAGAGCAGAAATCTTAGCGTTTTAGACGAGATCAAAGAATTTAAGGAGTAGAACAGTAATAATATTGCATGCTAATGAACTTTTCCAATAGATCCTTCCTCTCCTTTCACATTGGATTGAACCTTAGAGAAAACTACGAGCCTAAATTGACTGATGATAGCCTAGGATGTTAAGTGTGGTTAAGAATGACTGAGCTTTATTGAGTAGTTTATGCAGTGTCTCAAATAGATTTCAGTTAAAGCCAGTATCTTAAAACGCCTCAAACTTCACTCTTTCATTCAAAATATGATCAAAAGATGGAAGAACACTGATTATTCAGGATTTATCATCTTGCTTACATCTCACTATTAGTTTTAATCTCATTCTCGAGGTCTTGGATGTGCTTTTGAGCTTTATTTAATCTGTGTTTGAACTATACAATTCATTAGGATATAAGAATTAAGGACTAGGTGTATGCAGTTAAAACATAAGTTAAGCTTGATTGTCAGGATATCTTTATAACTGCTGCTTTAGTCGCACAAATTACAGCCAATCTACTTCGGTTCCAACTTCAGCTTTGAATGCTGTTAAAAGCCGAAGCAAAACAAGGATGGCAAACTTACTATTTGATAAATCTGATTGAACGAAATTGGTTCTGCTTCATTCCTTAATCTCTGATTTCCATGAGCACGGATACATATTTTCCCAATTTTCTCTTTGCTGAATCAACTGGAGTCTCTGCAGCGGGAAATAAAGCAAGACTTAAATCTGCCAGTTTGCTTATGCAAATATCTCAAACGATAAAAGCTTTTGATAAAATTCTCGACTATATCTGGGACATTTGGAAATAAACCCTTGGGTGAGGAAAAGTTTTTGCTAAACTCCTCTAATCTTCTTATCTCATGTTTGAATTTATTAATAAATTCAGCAGAGTCTGGAATCCTACAATTCTGAGCCGAATATTTATTGAGGCCCAAAAAGACTCTATAGAGGAATGTAAGGCGGAAACCTCTCATCATCTTGCTTACTTCATCAGACTAATTATAGCACCTTGGTGTGCTTCCAAGATCTGTCCTGATAAATCTGGTCCTTTGTTTAAAGCCCTATTTAATGGTTAACTTGTAAACTCCTTCACTTACTTTCTATGGTCCTGACTTTTTACCCTATTATTCTTCTTCCTAATTTTCTTTTGGAGTATCATTCTTTTTAGGCTATGGCAGATTAAGACATCAAGCTTCTTCAGAAACTACCGGATTAGTTTCATAATAAAGTTTTAGAGACAGATTATGGTTAAGCTAACAATAATATGTGTGTAGTTTGTTAATAATTATGCTAATTCCTTCCCAAGAATTTCTAAAATAAAGTATTTAGAAGGCAATTTGCAACTTGAACTCAGGAGCACCCAGGAAGGAACTAAAATAACTCTGCTCAACGATGGCCAAAAAGTTGTTTAAATTCTTGACCCAGTACTACAATGGTAAACACCCAAAATGCTTGTGTAGAATTCTGAGTGTTAAGGTAGATTCAAAATTTTGTATTAGCTGTGATGTTAGTAGATTTATTGGATAAAACTTTAAATCTTCCATACTTCTTAATTTGATTCCTCCTTCCTTTCCTTCTACGAGTCATCACTCTTTGATCCTCATTATTGAGAGTAGAGAGTTCTAGAGAAATATTAGATTGACAAAGCAAGGCTATAAATAAGAGTAAACTGCATTGTCTAATATTTAAGCCTTTGGGTATTTGGCACTTTAGGAAAATTGAGAAGAGACCAAAGAGTAATTCTCATCAAATCTGCCAGAATAGCTCTGTTTTATACAAAACTAGATATTTGCAAAGTTATTTTAGGAACTTTATGCTTGGAGACTTAATCTGGTCGACTTTTGCTAAAATTTACTTTTATAAAATAGAGAAATGGTTGACTTATGGTAAGGAATTAGAATCAAGAATACTGAATATATTTGAAAAATTAGCTTAAGAATAGAATCTTTTATTCCTAAAAATGTCTGAAAATGTTCTAGAAACCATCAAACTCTTCAACTCTTTCCCTCTCTAGGACCTAGCAGAACCCTCAGGAATATCTGGTAAAGCTATAGAGAGAATTCTCTCTTTTAGAACTTTTGAAGCACTTTGGTAGTTACTTCCCTGTGGTCTCTCAAAATAAAATATTTTTCTACTTCTTGGCTACAGAACACACATTCGTAGCACAACTTTCCTGCATTGTGATTGGGCAGACTTCTAAACTACCATCAGGAGAAAGTAGAGCCATTATTTTAGGCTTGTTGGTAATAATTACTCCGAGGTTAAGTTACAACATACTGAAAGGATTGCAAGAGAGTAGATACCGCTAAAACCACAGATATCAACTCGACATTGAGTGGAATCGATTAAGCTTTCTGCCTTAGATGATTAATAAAGAAAATAAGAATACTTTCAAAACATAAATACTCAAAGATAAAGAGTTTCACCACAGTTTATTAAGATGTTATATGCGACTGGTACTTTACCTGCTCTACTCATAGGAGAGATTGGAATCATTGGGCATGAGGGGTCTACTGTAATATTGTTGACTCTTCTAAATGGTATTATACTTCCGATATGATACTGTTCATTTAACTTCAACTCCTCTTTCACTCTAAGCAAGTCTTTGATATGAAACCTAGGGCTTCTGACTGCCTCTGTTTCCTCATAATCTTGTGAAAAGTTGTCCCAAGCAGGAATTCTAAAATTCTGACGTTCCATTTGTTAATAAATTATTACAATTTCTATGATATCTCCTCATTTGGGGTTTTGGGGTTTTGGGGTTTTGGGGTTTTGGGGTTTTGGGGTTTTGGGGTTTTGGGGTTTTGGGGTTTTGGGG